GAATTTATTTTAATATGAGAAAAAAAGGAAAAAAAATCTGAGATTAAAGTAAAAATTCTAAGAATAAAGGCATAAATTCTGACTTTTTTCCCATAGAAAAATATTAAACAAAATAAAAAAATTGTAAACTTTTTTTCCAGTTGCCCCAATCCTCCTCAGTGCCATTGAAATAAAGATAATGAATTAAAGTATATAAAAAAAAAAACAAGTAAATATATTATAGAGTATAAAAAGAACAAATAATAATAAAAAAATGTTTAAAAATAAATACAATTACTTCAGTTTATCTTTAAGAAATAAATACAGTCTATATATTTTAAGGGGTCAACAGTCTGTAAGGTTATTTTTAGGATAAACGCTCTAAACTAGTTGATCAAACTCTTATCTACAGAAAGACAAAGTTTAAATCAGCTGGACTCATTCTGGACAAGGAACCAAGTCTGTTCCTCCATCATTCATGCTGGTATTTTAAAGTCAGGGCTGGTTTCTCCGATTGGTTACTTTCTCTGATTATTTTAGACGAGAAGCATCAGTTTATCAGTAGGCAGTAATGAGCTGGCTGGTTTCCGTCTGCTACTCCGCCTCTAGACATAAAGAGTTCATCGAAAGGGAACAATTCGCCGCCTCATCGTTACATATGCACCTTACCTGTCTCGGCTCTGGCGCCATCAACACCTTTTATTTGCTGTTAGACTGAATAATAAGACACTATGGCTTTAATTTAATAAAAGCAGAGGGGTAACAGGGGGACAGTACTTGTTGTTCTTGTTCTTGGCTCTCTGTGAAATCCACTTGTGGTAGTATGATGATTTGACTTTGTAGCAATAGAAGAGCAGCAAGACAGCAGGGAGGACCACCAGGAAGCCAAATAGCAGACCCACCACCAAACCCACTTGACCTGAGGAAACAAACAGAGACACAAACACGGCTTTAAAACAACCATATCAAACAGAAACGAAAAGAAACATCTCTGAGAGTAACAGGGTCCATTTTAGACAGGCCGCACCCATGTGCTGTGAAACCCAACATATTAAACAGCTTGCTCTGTGTGAAGCGAGGTCAAAGTTCAACATGGGTAAACTTTGATATGATGAATAAACGCGTGACAAATGGAAACCAGGGCTGACCACTATATAGCAATTATGGCATTTTAAACGAGTGTCAAAAACGTCTAGAGGATGAGAAAGTACTGGACTTGAAATTTCCCACAATGCACCTTGAAAAGATGCATTACCAAATTACCGATTGCTAGCAATTCAACCCATGTTTGAAAAACCTGCGTTAACACGATATTTTCAGCGCGAAAGAGGCTTTAGGTTCTTATGCACATAAAGCCAGATGCCGGCTTCCCTGTTCTTTTCCTCGGACAGGTTGGAGAACTGGATGAAATCAAGATGGCGGATGGGTTTTCTTTTCTTAATAAAGGTAGAGAATCTCTGTGCGGTGTGTCCCTGGCTCCTGCTGGTCCCTCTGTCCCATCAGAAAATGCTTTTTCACAAAGCAAACCATCTTCGATTGGTTGACAATCAGCGTCCGACAGCAAAGGTTCTGATTTTCCGCTAAGGAGGCGTGTAGCACATGGGAAGCTTCAAAACTCTCGTTTTGACTTTGAATGTCAACTAGATGTGTTTGATGTTTAAAACACATTTGGTCGCAACGTGGCATAAACAAAACAAAAGCATGAAGAGCTAGGAGTTTAGAGATAAAAAAAAAATACTAACTTGTCCTTTTTGCATATTTCTGGTTTAAACATTTTATATTAATTATATTACTGCAATCCCAATAAATAAAAGCAACATCAGAATAAAGCGTATTGACTCACTGTAGCTCTGCACCGGTCCGCTGTCCACGCTGCCGCCCAGTCCAGGCTTCTCACAGAACGGCGGCGCCCAGCCTTTGTTACAGTGACAGTTCCCGTTGCTGTTACACACCTGCAGAGGACGGACACAAGGCAGGGCTTAAACATTCACACTTTATCACGCTAGTCTGTGGAAATGAACACTGCTAAGGAACAATTCATTTAAATTTGGTAATGATCAGATCATGAGCCAGTTTTAGCTATAGGGGAACAGTAACAGCCATTCAAAATGGCCATTCCCAGTCAAACGCCAGCCGAATGGCAGCAACACTTCCAACAATTATCCCCTCCAACTTCCAGCCACTGGCCTTCTCCTGGGCAGCCATATTTTTTTACTATGACTTTTTCACTGAATTACAGGGTCTGACCAGGAGATGGCGCTTCTCTTTAGATCTTAATGTCCACAAATCATGACAGAAAGAATATTTTAGTACAAATATTGATGTTTACAAATAATTAAAGGGGACCAGCCAAGGGCCAGCCTAGGATCAGCCTAGGACCCAGCCAAGAGCCAGCCTAGGATCAGTCTAGGATCAGCCTAGGACCCAGCCAAGGGCCAGCCTAGGATTAGCCTAGGACCCAGCCAAGAGCCAGCCTAGGATCAGTCTAGGATCAGCCTAGGACCCAGCCAAGGGCCAGTCTAGGATTAGCCTAGGACCCAGCCAAGAGCCAGCCTAGG